ACAGTTCAATGTATCAACCAACGTATTTCCTAATAAGAGATCATACAACTCAGTCAATAATTTTAGCATTACGTGGTACAATGTCAATACACGACTTGATTGTTGATTTGACTTGCGAGTATGAAAAATTCCAATTACCCGAAGATATCCAAAAAGGTGACAATACAATACATTATGTGCACAAAGGAATGTTCCAAGTGGCAAAGAGTTTAGTTAAACCTGGAAAAGTAGGTGTTTTTGAAGCATTAAAAAGGGAATTGCAACAGAATGATGGTTATGGTTTGGTCTTGGTTGGCCATTCACTTGGTGCTGGTGTTGCGAGTTTATTAACATTATTGTTGGCGTCACCTACTACACGTATGACAACTAGATGGAGTGGTTTGCCTTTAGGCCGTAGAGTACATTGTTATGTATTTGCCACGCCGTGTGTGATGTCGATTGACTTATCTAAAAAAGCAAAAACTTTAGTAACATCTGTAGCTTATGGTAATGATGTTGTATGTAGATTGAGTTTAGGTCATGTAAAAGATTTACGTGGTGTAGTACGATATTTGGGTAGCGCAAATGCATCAACCACTCCTAAAACGCCATCTCCGTCGAAAGTTGAAGCAGATCAAGAAGTTATACCCGAAGAAAATCATGAACTGGCTAGTAAGGTGTTTAGGAAATTTTTGGATTACAAATCTAGGACATTTTCAGAGAACGATGAAAAGAGCATGGTTATTAAACGTGAATTTGAACAATTCTTTTGGAATGTTAGAGAAGAAATCCGTTCACATATGAAAAACGTTAAATTATATCCTCCTGGTAAAGTATATTGGATTATTGATAGTAAAAGAGCACCATATTGTAATGCCAGTGAAGAGATTGTCAGTGGTCATGATGAACATGACAAGAAGCGTAAAATAGAAAAGGAACAGAAAAAGGAAAAGGAGGGTGGCGTTGAAGATGATTCTGACGAAGAGATATTTTTTGAGAAAAATGGATTATATAATATGTTGGAAATTAATAATGTTGAAAATATTTTTGACGAAATATGGTTTACTCCGCAAATGATGACTGATCATCTTCCACATGTTTATGGTAAGAATGATTTTTTTGAAATATTAAAAATATATATGATAATAAATAAAAATTGATTGATCTCTTTTCTTTTTTTTTTTAATAGAAAATGTTTTGAAAAAATTATAATGAAAGAAACTTTAATATTTTTATTTATTGTATGATTTAATTTTTGTAATTTATAATTTATTATATTTGTGTATTTATTTTTTTTATGCATCTATCTATATACATTCTCTTCTTTTTAATTCACCATCATCACCTTCGCCTTCATTCATGCAAAAGCATTTATTATATTTTATTTATTATTTAATTTCAGTATCCAAAATTCATTCATATATATATATATATATATATATATATATATATAAAATTTAATTGGTATAATAAATAATATATAAAAATTGTTTTTTTGTTTTACTTTATAATATCATCATCATCCATTTGTTTGTCTTTTTGATAGAAATTTTTTTTTTTTGGGGGGTTGTTCTTTCTTCGTTGTTCACGAATAAAAAAGATTTCTGATTCAACCTTGCTTATTAATGATGAAAAATCCCTTGTTCAAAAAAGTCCGATTATAAAATATATATAGCTTCAAGTGCAGTAGTTCCTATAGATAAAGAAAAGAGTTCACACAGTTACCTTATTATTTATTTGTTGATATCATTTTTGTAGAGTGCCTTTCTTTTAACATGTTCTTGGGGAGAGATAATTTTCTCAACTCCATATAATATAAAGATTGTAATCAATTGATTAATTACGTGCAATTATAGCAACGATTTTTTAATAAATCTGTTTTGCAAAAAGTCGTGACATTATTGAAATGACAGATATCTTCTTTATGAGCGCAGTAAAAATATCATTTGAAAGGAAACGAGCTAAACATCTATTAACAAAAACACCTTGTTTGTAATCAAAAAATCTGATTTTTTGTCAAGGACTCAGATTCAGTAATGATATTATTCCATTCTGTATTATTGTCTATAGACATATAACTAATACTAGTGACTCTTTATTAGCAGATTGCATAATTCTTACTGCTGTGGGCAACGTATCTAAGCACGCAACATGATTATGATGACGAATATTATTAGGTTTCCACCACCATTGTTGCTGCTACTGCTATTGTTATCATAATAACGACGACGACTATTTCCTTTTGATGATTCATAATCTCTATGAATGTTGGTCAGATTTTTTTGTTTTTACCCGATCTCTGTGACGGATGTAAATATTCATTGAAAACTATGAATAACGACAACCCTACTTTTGATCGTTAGTTATCATTTAAAATGATACAAAAAAAAAATAAAGCGTTTTGATTTTTAAATTTTCACTGATGCTATATTTGGTATTTTTAGAGATGTTCCAATGCGTACGTAATTTTTAAAATCATGCGCATAACATATTAGCTTGTTTGATAATTCTTTAGCATGGTGAAGCAGATTTGGTAACATGGTGGAAAGGGAATTTTTCATTAGTTGCCCCTGAACTGACTAATCTTGCTGTACAAATTCTTTCAATCCTACATCTTCAGCAGCACCTGAAAGAAATTGGCCTGCATTCTCATATATACATGATAAAAAAAGAAATAGGCTAACATCTGGTATGGTTTTCAAATTAGTGTTTATTTATTTTAATTATAATTACAAAAATCAAAAAAATCAAAAGATGATGTCAATGGAAACACTATGATACTGGTAATGATAATGAGGAACAGGAAGATGATGTTAGTGAAGTGAAAATGATGATAGTGATGTATATACATCTGAATCAGTGACTAATATCAGTAATTAAATCTGTTTTGTTTTTTTTAATAATAATAAAAATTTTTTTTAAAAAATAAAAAAGATCGGCAGATGCAGTGCGCATCATGCGCATGAAGTTTGAAATTTTCATGCAATTTCCCATCCCTATCTACAACAAATTATTTTTTTGAGAAAATCTCTCTATTACATTAAAACTAAAGGCATATTCTATCAACTAACAGAGTAATTTTTTTAAAAGGTAGGACAGAAAGTGACTTCTATACTTTTAAATTTGCCCGAAATTTAGGAGGTCTTTAGACCGAGCCAACTATAGAGTTTCCAGCTGCTCTAGAGAGTATCAATCTATTTTTTCTTTTAGGTGGGACTTATGGCCAGAATTTCTATTCGTAATACACATTCTTATTTGAATTATTTGTATACAACTCAATCTTAATTCGAATTTATTCATTTTATTTGAATTACATACCAAATTAGAAATGCTGAAAATAACATTTCAAATTATGGCTGCCCAATCGTGTTTCGGACATGTGACCTAACCTCTCGTGTTTAATTTTTTTATATTCGAATTTTTATTTATATCGTTTAAATTAATTTTAAAAGAAAAGATTAACGTCACTTTTTGACCAAGTACAAGTTAAAACATTCGAATTAAAATTTAAATTAATATTTCGGGTCTTGTTTTATAAGAGTAGAATTTCTATTCGTAGTTTTATTCGTTTTGTTCGAATTACTCGTTTATTCGCTTTATTCGCTTTATTCGTTTTATTCGTTTTATTCGCTGTTTTATTCATTTTATTCGATTACTCGTTTTATCAAATTATTTGTTTATCAAGTTATTCATTTTATTCAATAAAAATTATTGTTGTTTTAAACGTTGCGCATGACTTGTTTATGAGGACGATGATCATTGCTTATTTGGTATGTAATACCGAGTATTCATGTGTAACCGAATATTCATTGAATATTTGAATATACATTCAAATGATTAATATCACTACGTTTTATTCATTATTTGAAGTGTTTGTTTTATTTGTGTAAGCATTTAATGTAATTCGAATACTCAAATTCATAATGAATAAAATAAATAATTCTTATTCGAATAGAAACCTACTACGACTATTTGCTAGTAAAAGGGAAAAAACAACTATTGAAAAAAAGAGAAAACTTTTTAATTGGATAGTGCATATACTATATTACTATCAGTTATTATTATTATTATTACTATTATTATTATTATTATTATTATTTATTATTATTATTATGATTATTATTATTATTATTATTATTACTATTATTATTATTATCATTATTATTATTATTATTTTAATGATTCGTTTTATACGAATTTGCCAGTTAAAAACTTTCACGTGATTAAATTAACCTGTTAGCCGATTAATAAGTTAACCGGTTATAGTTAGCCATTTCTAAAATTAACCGGTTAACTCTTAATTTTTATGGTTGGTACCGGTTATAAAATTGTCACAATGGTAAACAATTTTGAACCCTGAACTTTCATTGTAGCACAAATGCCCAAAAAAACGAAGTACTCGAACATTTTTGCAATGTTTGTTTTCGAGTATTCCTAAAAGGAAATGTTTTCAAGTATTCGTAATGAATGTTTCAAAACTAATGGATTCTTTTTTAAAATGCTTTTTGGGGCTATGTACAAAACTTTAGCCAAATTTAGTTTAGACGCCCAATGAATAATTTTAATAATAAACATTTAAAACCTAAATCTATCTAAAAGTAACGAAAACCCCCTAAATAACTTCTATTAAAAAATATCTCCAAATAAAATATATCCCAAATAAAAACCCTTAAACAAACACCCGTATAATCTATAATAAGATATAATCTATTTTCATATATACATATATCATAATATTTAATAAAAGTCTATTATAAAAAAATATCTATATTATATAATGTTTTTATATATTTATATATTTATATATGTTATTGCTCCCATTTTTGAAATAAATCCATAATATCATTTTTCATTCCTTTAACAATACGACTTCTCATCTCTTCGTCACGCTGTCTAATCAAATCTTTCAACATGTCGATCTGACGTTCTTTATCCTCCAACATACCAACAGCTTTAACCAAACGTTTTTGAAACACAGAAATTGTTTCATTGGGATCATTAGGTGGGAATAAAAGTTCTGCAAATGAAGAAGAAGATGAAGTTATTGCTGTTGTTGTATCATTTGAACCAGCAGCACTATTATTAGCTGCTGCTGTAGTAGTAGTAGTTGTTTCTGAAGATTCAGGATTTGGATTATTATTATTGGAAGATTGTTGCCAAAACCAACTAAGTGGTGATGTGTTATTATTGTTGTTGTCATTAGTTGTTGAAGTTAATAATTGTTGCTGCTGCTGCTGCTGACGATGATGATGATGTTGATTATCTCTTTTTTGAGAAAATCTAAAAGTTTCAAATCTTCCAGAAGGCGAGACAATGTCACCACTACCACCACTATGTTTTCTTCTGACACTTTTTTGTATAGATGTAAATGATTGAGATGTGTCATTGCTATTATTATTGTTGTTGTTGTTATTATTATTATTAATAGTATTATTGTTATTAGTATTACTATTAGCAACAGCAGTATTATTAATAGGACCACCGCCGACAGAAATACTACGCCATCTTATTAGAGTTCCACCACCACCAGTGGTAGTATTATTTGTTGTCGAAGAATTAAGACGATGATGGAGACTTCCAGATTCACCAAAATTATTAATGTTTGTTGGTGAAGGATTCGGGGTTGGGATGTGTTGGGATATAGAAATATTTTTTGGTTTACCCAATAACTGCGTTCCTTTACCTCTATTTGTAGCATGCTATATTGAAAGAATATAAGTGATTGAATGTGAGTGGAGGGGTAAATAAGAATTTATTATTATAAATAAAATTAAAAGGAGTATGAATGAGAATGTAACAGCAAATACCTGAACTACACTTCTTCTTCTTAAATTACCCTCAAATGATCTTGATGATTTTCTTGCGTTAGTATTATTAGTAGTAGTAGTAGTAGTAGAAGAAATAATTTCATCATCAATTTCCATCCTTCTACTATCATCGTCGTCAACATCATCGTCGTCGTGTTCCCAAGGATCATCTTCATCGTTGTTATTTTTTTTGTTACTATTGTTCCTTTTATTCTTATTCTTTTTATTATTTACTTCTAATTCATCAACGGAATTATCATCATCATCCTCATCATCGTCATCAGAATACGAAACAACACTAGGTTTTAAACGTTTATTACGATGACCATCCTTATTGTTTTTGCTATTACGACTACCTCCATTATTATTACCAGTAGTAGATTTATTTGGTAATAATTTTTTATTAATATTTAATTTTTTAATTTTATTAATATTATTATCATCATCATTTCCTCCATAATGCTCATCATATAAACCATCATAATCTTGATATCCGTTATCATCCTCGTCTTCATAATAATCTTCATAATTGCCATCATTATCATTGTTATTGCTATTATTATTATTACTGTTATTATTATCAATAGTATTACGACGTGTATATTTTCTTTTTTGTCTTTTACTACCAGAACGCCTAATCAACTTTAATACAAGATCACCATCATTATTACCATTGTCTTCTTCTTCTTCTTCAATATTATTATGATGATGATTAGTTGCTGTGGGCGATTGATCAGCATTTACAATAGGGTTTTTATCAGGGTCTTGATAATATTCATTTGGTCTGGCAAGTAGATAATCAAAGAATGCATCGATATGAATTGATTTCATCCATTTCTATAATATATGTACGTACACATTAGTAATGTGACGAAGATCTTAACCATAACAAGTTATAGTGACTAGAAGAACAATTCACGTGACATATCACATATCACACATTCACAAAAATAACAACACAACATACCTTGAGCCTTACGGCGTATTGTTGAATTTTTTGAGGACTAGAATCAGCAGTACGTTCAACACCTAGTTGTTGAGCTAATTTTGTCCAAGTCTTAATTTCACCAGAATGATGTTTTGATACTAATTGATAAAGAGTCCAAGTATCAAAATTTTTACCATCAGATTTTGGCACAGAGTTGAAAGAACGTATCAATGGAGTATAATCCATATCAGCTGGAGCATTTGGATTACAATAAGTTATGAAATCAATATATTTATTGGCAAAATTTGATTCGATCATGTCATCTTTGGTGGGGGGATGACGACCAACTGAATTGGTGGTTTTTGAAGTGGAATTGGAGGATAGCGATGATGAGGATGAGGAAAAAGGAGGAGTTGTTGATATTGATAGATTTAATTTTGATGCGATTGATTTATTTGTTGGAATTATTATTTTATTCTTTGGTTTTGAATTATTATTATTGATTTTTGGTTTTTGAATTGAGAATGAAGAGGGAGAAGAGATGTCGATATTATCATCACCATCATCACCTACATCTACTACAAATAACAACAACAATAATAATCTAGATGATAATCTAGATGATGATACAATTGTCACTGCATCTACTACTATTGCTAACATTACAACCACAACTTCCTCTTCTTCTTCTTCTTCTGGCTCTTCTATTCTACCTTTTCTACCGCAACCTTCCAAACCTCCTTCCCCTTATGAAATTACCATCGACAAAAAAGAATACAATGAAGAAAATCAGCTATTGTTAGCTATTTCTAATGACAATGGCGACGACATTAATAACAACAACAATAATGTCAATGTTATTGACGACAATGTTCATTCTACAGCACTTACAACCACGGTTACTGAAGAAGAAGCAGTATTAAGAGAAGAAGAAGCCGAAGAAGTAATAACATCCTCGTCAATCATTCTACCTTCAACAGCAACTACGCAAGATCCAATTTCTACCTTAACAGTGTCGTCATCATCATCGACATCCACCACCACCACCACCACCACCATTATCAACAATGACAACAATCATAATAATAACACAACTGAATTACCTTCAGCGCCATCTCCTAATATAAATAAAGATTCTTTAAAATTCTCCTCAACCTCGACCTCATCAAAATCATCACCTCCTTCTTTATCACAAAGATCGACCAGAAAAACCAGAACTAATCTCAAGATTATCAATGACAACAACAACAACAGCAACAATAATATGATGACGATGACAGATGATAATATCGACATCTCTTCTCCCTCTTCATTCTCAATTCAAAAACCAAAA